GGGCTGGGGCAATTGATGCACTGTATTCTTGTTCCGGGGGGGGGGCAACAGTGGGAGGGCTTCTAGTGTCCTGGCCCCACTAGTAGACCTCCTGATGGCATCTGGTATTTTTGGCCACTGTGTGACAGAGTGTTGGACTGGATGGGCTATTGGCCTGATCCAACATTTGCTTCTCTTATGTTCTTAATCCTCCCCTGTTTACATGGGTTCTTTTCATTTTGATGCCTCAGGTTTCTAATCCACTTTCTGTAATCTCCTCTTCCAACTACATCTCATCTCTCATATCTCCTTCCACTCTGTGTTCTCTGTGGAAGCTCATCTACTTATGCCTTCTTTTGTATCCGTTTTCCATGTCTTCTCTGATTTCCCTAAATATCCTTTTCCTATAATCTGCTTCTGTTTTTTTCAGGTTGCTATTCATTACCCACTTTCTCAGCAAAGTCTTGGGGAGAGCCCATACTTTGACTGTACAAAGTTTCAGGCTAAGTTCCTGGCATCTCAAGTAAAAGAATCTTGTGCAGCAAAATTGGGGGAGATCTCAGCCTAGATCTCAGAGAGTCACCCAACAAATAGGTGGACCATTGCTAAATCAATTAGATGGACCAACAGTATAAAGCAACTTAAAATGATCTTTCCTTACCTATTGTAGTTTCCATGTAACCTTTACTTTCATTAACGGATAACTTCTGTGATGTATTTGTTAGTCACTGAGAACTTCCGTCCTGCCAGCGTTTCAGTGCTGTTTTGTCCAGGTAAACTAATAGTAATTGTCACTCAGTGACTTCAGCATTCTTTACTATACCCTGAATAAGTGCTCTTTAGTTGTGATGGGAATCGAACCCATTCCATTTGCTAATTCTCTGTGCTCTGGCCTGTGCACTCACTTCTATAAATCAACAGAATTGTCCTTTCTGTCGATGTGAGTACCTTCTAGGTACACATTTCTTCATTTTCAGAGTGGTAAAAGGGCACATCTCTCTTCTCTCAATAGGCATTGACAAAGAATGAAAGAGAACTCCCAGAATTATTTCAGTGCCATGGAACTGTTGATGAACTAGTTTTGCATTCGTGGGGTGAAGACACCAACAGAATGTTGAAATCGCTGGGAGTACCAACAGCATTTCTTAGTATTCCAAACCTTTATCATGAACTGAACAAAAGTGAGCTAGAAAAACTGCAAGCTTGGATTTTGAAGAAACTGCCAGAGAAGCCAAATGACGAATGACTAGTAAAGGGAAAGTACTGTGTGTCTGAAATACGTAACTACCATTTCACATAGAGATTTCTGTGTTCCATTACTTTTAACCTTTATATCATGATTACTCCGTTAACAGAAACACTTTTAAAAACTAGCGAAATGAGATTTTAAAAGTTGCTGTAAATATTTCATGAATGGTTTGTTTATGTGCATCAGGAGATATGAAATGTGGTCAAAAGGGCCATCAAGTCACAGCTGACTTATGGTGACCCCCCCCCCCCCGTAGGACAGGAATCCCCAACCTGGTACCCGTGGGCTCTGTGGTGCCCGCAAAGTGTTTTTAGAAAGTGGGTGGGGCCAGTTAGGGCTATTAGTCATTGGAGATCTGATTAGTTGTGCAGATTTTCAAAAACATTGCTTTGGTAGCAGCTGCCACCACAGCACAAGGACTTTCAGACTAATGCAGGGGTGGAAAATGGTCAGTAAAATCAGTAAAAGTCCGTTTTTCCATCTTGGTCAGTGATTTGTCAGTTTTTTAAAACATTGGTCAGTAAAGTCAGTATTTCTTTGATTTTTGTGAATGCGGTTTGTGTGTGTTTTTTTCCTCCGTTAACTGCATTTTTGGGGAAACATGACTTCCCAGTGAGAAGACAGATTGTTTTCAGTTCAGTTATGAAGTACTTTAAGGACTTTGTTCCTAGGAGTAAAAATGATTTGGTGAAATCTTCCACAAAGTATAGAAACATCATTAACCTCTTTAAAAATAAGACAGTCAATGCAGAGGTGATGTTTTGTTGCACGGGTACCCGCTTATTTACAAAGTTCACTGGAGTGTTCCAGAAAGAAGACCCTTTGGTGCATGTGATGCCCAGTGAAGTAAAAACACTCACAAGAACCATAATGAATCATGTTTGTAAGAGTTCAGCACCATTGTCTCTTGATACCTTCAGTGATGAGCACTGCATACTTGTGAGAGAAGTAATCAGTGAAAGTAGAATCTGTGATGAACTGAAAAAACTTTCTGAAAAGGTACAGCTAACACTTTTTAATGGGAGCAAAAAAAAAAATTCATAGCAGCCTACAAACACCTTTTGTTCCAGTCATCTTTGGACAAGCCCATCCTCAGATATCTTCAGTGTTTAGCTCCACAGGCGCTGCCCAGGTCCACTGCCGCAGCAGCTCCCTTGCAGATCTGCCTCTGGTCCGCACCACCCTCCTGCGTCATGGGCCAGTCTCCTGCACCGGCTGTTGGCTCCTTCCTGGCCTGCCGCACTTGGGCCACCAGCAGGCTTGTGGCCCTCTGGGCCTCCCCCGCAGCTCCTGGAGATGACAAGCCCACCACCAGTCCGCCAGTGTTGGGATCCTTTGTGCCACCACGGGAGCAGCTGTAGGACTCCTTGTCAGCCCAGGTGAGTTGTTCAGGGGTGGGAGTTGTCGGTGGCGCAGGTTGGCTGGTCTGCGTGGGGGTCCAGCAGGTGCTGTCTCCCCTCCATCCCTTGCTCAGGCCAGGCTGGGACAAAGATGCAAGAAGAAGGTATATTCCACCCCAAACCCGACAGAAGTGAAATGGTGAAACATCGGGAGATTTGTGAACCTTTTTGGTATACATATCCAACACACACAAAGAATGGCACATTTTGCAATGCATTTGTGTGGTAATTTGGGACAGCACTAGCTTTTATTCACCCCTCCCCCCACATTCACCATCGTAATGGTTATCTTCACATGCACTACTCTGCTTTTTCTTCATAGGAGTGGATAATAGTGATGCACATAAACACAAATTTATTTAGAAAATTCATATGGCATCTTTCAAGGCGGCTATAGATAAAAACTTCCTCAACCACAAAAAAAGGTTACCAGCTGCCCTGCCATGGATAGCCCAGGCAAGCCTGACCTCTTCAGATCTTGGAAGCTAAGCAGGGCCAACCTTGGCAAGTATTTTGATAGGAGACCTCCAAAGAATACCAGGGCTGGGAGGCCAGAGGCAAGCTATCAAGCCACTTTTCTGAATCTTCTCCATGCCCCAGTAGGAGTCACCAGAGGTCGCCATGAATTCCAGGCATGGGCACACACACACACAAATGCAAAAAAAATCCCCCAAAAGATTACCAGCTGTTTAGACCACGTTTATCTGTATGTGTTGGGGCAGCTTGATCAGTGAGGATTGCAAGCTACTTATTTGAAAGAAATTGTCCACCTGCCCTGGGTGACTTCTGGTATATCAATATGGACAACTGATAAGCAACCAAGTTCAGGTTTGCATAGCAAATTTGAGAGCTCATGTCTCTTTGTAGTGGTTTCATCACCTCAGATTAGCATAGTAGTTACCAGAGACATTCACCACACTGTATCAATGTGGCATACCACCAAGAATTCCACACACCAAAAAATCTTTTGACTGTGCTTCTGAACTTTTTTTACTGAGACTTAGTAAGTTTCATGGAGTTCAATGAGATTTATTCCCTAATAAGTATGTTTAGAATTGTAATTTAAATCTGAAATCAGCTGTTACAGAGCTATGTTTGTTTTTTTAACTAGAGCCAGAGGTCATTTCGGGGAGGAACGTGGGGGATCGCAGTCCCCCCGGGTGAGGTGCGGGGGCGGGGCACACGATGAAGCCCCCCCCTGCTTCCGGCCACCCCGCTTCCAGCCCTCATTCAGCCAGGAGGAGGCAGGAGAAGAGGGAGGGTAAGTTGCTTCCTCCCTGCCTCTCCCCACCCCTGCCTGCCTGGGGCCAGGGAGGGCCTTGGCGGGGCTTCCTCGCACTCCCGCCGGCCTTGCAGGTCCACCGCCGGGCCTTATGATGTCAGGGAGTATGGCATATGCTAATGAGTTATGCTAATGAGTTCCCCTAGCTCTTTTTCTACGAAATGACCCCTGACTAGAGCCATACCCACTCAGCGTGGTGACCATGTGGTTTTGACATTTCCTTCAGTTAGAGAAACAGTTTGTGCAGCATAAGGCTAGGCTGTTGTTTTCTTTGGGGTTTTTTTGTTTGTTTGTTTTTAGAAACACAGGCCCCAAACCTGGTAGCCTTATTGAAGTAGTTCTGAAGCTCTTTGATGTTGACTTACTTTTCTACCAAAATTTAATTTAACTATAATTTTTTTAGAACATTTATGTGCTGCTTTTTAAGAGTCCTTCATGTGGCAAATTTGGGATCCTATTCCTACAGTTTGGGTTTAAGGCCAAGAAAGTGCTACTTGCCCACGACCAACAGCCTTACTACTGCACAGAATGAGCCCATATTTCCTAGGGCAAAATACAGTACAGGAGTGCGGGTGCTGTTAGTAACAACAGCAGTTAGTCAATGTGCTTTTAATGTTTAAAAGTTACCTTTTCAGGGGCATTTTGACCAATATATCACACAGCCTTTTAGTTCAGCCTTGGAGTTGAAGGACATTTGGCAAATCTAAATGAAACAAATGAGTAGGCTTAAGCAGTCCGTTTCATGATACCTTCTGGAACTGTCACTTATACTGGCAAGGTACATAATTCAACAAGCAAATGAAAATGACTTCCAATTAGGCTTGAATTCTCCTGGGCTCTGTAACCATTTTCTGTTCTGCGTGGAAACAAAGTGTGAGTTTGTTTTTTGTTTTAATCTTTCATCATTATAAATGTGTGTTTTTAAGAGGGTTGAAATTTATGAATAGATTAGTGCTTTGAACGGCAGGGCGTGCTGGCTAATTGACAGAGGGCCACAGACAGCTGGAGCCAGAGAACAATTACAGGCAAGACTGAAATCAGCTGATGCAGCTGGTGAGACGGCAATTATTAGTAACAAAGCCCGGAACAAATAAGAGGCTCTGGTGTTCAATTAGTCCCCCTATTTTTAAAAAAAGTGTCAGACAATTTTTAAAAGAAAATAGGCCTCAAAGCTTTTAATAAATACCTTCAGAAAAGGAGAAAGTCAAGCCGAATCACCTGTGGGTAGATGAAAATAAAGAGTAGAGGTTTTTTAATTACTAAACACTAGTGAGAAAAATTATATCATATAAGAGAGAATTCTGCACCTCACTTTCTGGGCAGAGATTTACTTGTTAGCAAGAACTTGTTTCTGAAAACACATGTCATGTAGAATGGGCAGAATGAGTATGTAGAGTTGCTACCTTGCCAGGAAAAAATGGCCTGTCCCTTTAAATAACTGTTTAATGTGTGAAAATGGGCAGATGAAACTTTTCAGGGCATGAAGATAAATAACAACTGCAGATCAAACTGATATTAAAGGGGCAACTGGAAGAACCAGTTTAAAAGTTGGCAACTCTGTGTGTGGTGTGTAGGTTAAAGTACTGGAGAGATCTGAGTTAAAACTTCTACTGTGTCTCATAGCTCACTGGGTACATAAGAACGTAAGAGAAGCCATGTTGGATCACGCAAATGGCCCATCTAGTCCAACACTCTGTGTCACACAGTGGCCAAAAACCAGGTGTCATCAGGAGGTCCACCAGCAGGGCCAGAACTCCAAAATCCCTCCCTCTGTTGGCTCCCAAGCACCAAGAATACAGCGCTTCACTGCCCCAGACATAGTATTCCATCTATACCTTATGGCTAATAGTCACTGATGGACCTCTGCGCCATATGTTTATCCATTCCCCTCTTGAAGCTGTCTATGCTTGTAGCTGCCACCACTTCTGTGGCAGTGAATTCCACGAGTTAAGTACTCTTTGGGTGAAGAAGTACTTTCTTTTATCTGTTATAAACCTACTTCTCATTAATTTCATTGAGTGCCCACAGAAAGGGAGAAAAGTACTTCTTTCTCTACCTTTTCTATCCCATGCATAATTTTGTATATCCTGTCACCCCTCAGTCATCATTTCCCCAAGAGAAAGAGCCCTAACTGCTTTAACCTTTCTTCATAGGGAAAATGTTTCATCCACTTAGTCATTTTAGTTGCCCTTTTCTGCCCTTTTTCCAATGCTAAAATATCTTTTTTTGAGGTGCAGTGACCAGAACTATACACAGTATTCCAAATGAGGCTGCACCATAGATTTATACAGGGGCATTGTGATACCAGCTGGGTTCCCCCCCCCCAATTCCCTTCCTAATAATCCCCAGGATAGCATTTGTCTTTTTGATTGCCATCACATACTAAGTTGACATGACTCCCAGATCTCCCTCCTGGTCAGTTGTCAGTGGTGTTGTGCTATCTTTTTGATTTTAAGCACCAGTAGCCTGGTTCCTTCTTGGGACAAGTGTAGGCTGTCTCTTTTGTACAGGGCTTGCTTATTCCAAAAAGCATCCCAGTGCCTAACAAACTCAGACTCTTCCTCCCTACATCATTGTCTCACCCATGCATTGAGACTCCTGATTTCTGCTTGTCTATCTGGCCCTGCACATGGGACAGGCAGCACTTCTGAGAAGGTTACCTTGGAG